GAGCAAGAAACGCCAAGACACCGACGCTTCCATGCTATACAACGATCCATATCGGGTTGGCAGTATGCAAGAAATTAGTATGCGCGAAAATAATGCTTAAAATGCCAAAAGCACTTAAGCAATTATCGATTCTAAAACGAGTCTGGCAAAGTAGACCTAGAGTTTTTCTTACCTCGCAAAAGCAATGATATTTCATGCGGAGATATCTTCGTGAGCTCTTCGAGATTCGATTAAGGCTCATCCGTTAGCACACCTAAAAACTTCGTCCTTCAAGCTTAGTACTTATCACTTAAAAGGTTGGGGGCTATTGTTGGTGTTGTATTTTGCACCCCAAATACAGCCCAAAAGATGCCCATTAGCAGTAAGACCGGCCCACCGGGCGAGGTCCAAAGAAACAACTAGAAGAATATACCGCTAGCTGCGAAATGGAGATGGAGCCTGTGGAATGTAGTGATGGACTCGTATTAAGCCCACTACCATAAAACCCAATATGCCCAGCTAAAGGCCAGTCTATGAACCACGTGATTGGGCTGAATGAAACAGCTAACAGAATTACTTGCGGATAACAAGTTGAATCAGTCAAGCCAAAGATCTCAGAGCGCGTGCTGAAATCCTGAGATCGTGAGAAGAACATGCTAACGCGAATATATGAGCAGTTGAACTTGATTGACCGCCTATATAAAGAGAGAAGAAATCTTTTTCGAGGCCAAGTCCAATCACAATCACTTTTACCATAGAAAATCACCTAGAATTAAATATTGCGAGCTGCGCTCTGTTGACTTTATTTTTCCATCTCATAAATCTTTTGTATTAATCTTGATTCTTTGATAATATTAATACAAATCCATTATTATTCTCAAGATTCATACGAAGATCTAGGCCTTAATTCCTTTTCATTAATATCAAATTCTTGGTTGTGGATTTTTGGATCCACAATAAGACTTATCAGTTATCCATATTAGACATCCATGTTTCATCCAAATAAACTTCGTTTTTGATAAATGAATACACTACGTTATAATAGTAGTGCTCATGGAGACAATTCCATCGAACCCGAATGAACGTATTTGCCGGAAAACTTACAGGAAAATGATCAAAAACTATTTCGTCAAAAACAAGAGTTCCAACATGCAAAAAATTGTGCTCATTTTCATATGTTTATTTTTAATTAGAAAAAAAAACACCCAAAAAATTCTTCTAATTTTCGAGGCGGAGCTCTGGTTATCGAGTAACAACAAGAAACAAAAATGCAAGATATATCAGATTCTAAGCGTATAGTTCTCTCTAAAATGTAGGCACAAGAGCTTGCATAGAGGAAAAACAGCAATTCTTATTATGAAAAAACCCCTTCTCCAAACCAAAAAAAGGGGAAAACATAAAACACCAAAGGATAAAACAGAATGAGGTAACTTTTTCCTATAACATAAC